AAAAAAAAACAACACAAAAACCCCAAAAGTTGTCATTGTAGTAGGGCAAAATCCTGCTTTGAAAAATGAGGTAAATAAAAATACAGCTATGGCAATATAAACCTAAAAAGGTTTTCATAAAGCGCATAAAGTTCCATTGTACCAATTCCTTTCGGAAAAAAGTTTTGCAAACGTATATCCAAAGCAAGTGTTAAACTACAGTTCTATATTGTTTGAGTTTAGGAGCTAGTGTTGCGACATTTGATTCTTATTTTCCAGGTGACACAATTAATATTCACTTAAAAACAGCGATTATGGGGCAACAATCATATATATATGTATATACTTGTAACTACACCTTCAAGTAGGTCATTGAAGATACATTTATGCTGACACAATCACTGACAGGGCACTATACACATTCTGCACGAACTGCTGAAGAATGGCGTTACCAATTAGACTTAAAAAAATCTTTTCGAGAGCAGTTTCATTTCTGAAAATGGAAGTTCATTAAAAATTATAACAAGAATTAAAGGAGCTGAAATCAAACCCAGCCTTCAGATTATTCCCCTAAGAAAAATTGTACTGTTTATTTTCTCACCATTTGACTTGACAAGGAAAAGTTATTTAGGAATGTTTTCCTGATGAAACAAAGAGGCCCAGACATTGTAGCAAAGAATTAAATATAATTACATCATAAAAAGACAGACTTGAAACTTCAGAATAACTTGGAAGAACGATTAAGCGTGTAAGCAAGTACTAGGACAGACATAATGTGATTCAAAAACTAAGCAATTGGCTAAATTTTCAAATTCATTGGAGGCTTATTAACCTAAACTGTCTGGAGAAGTTCTTGGTATATGGATTCACTTGACTATATGTATTTAACCCTCAGTTTTTCATCCAGAAACGGGTACCAATGATGTGAAATAAACAGAGCAAAATTCACAAAGCTCAGAGATCCTCAAGTATGTTAATGCCCTCCTGGGAACCTGAATGGAGGAAAACATAGAAAAAGTTTAGGTCGCAAAAGAAACCGAAAGACAACCCAGAACGGTATGGTTAATACGCAGACAAAAGTTGCTGTATTTCCACATTTGTATTTCCATTCTGTTTACAAAGTTTGGATTTAGGGCATTCAAGTTAAATGTTTGCATTTTTATACAGAACAAGGAAGAATTCTCTCCTTGATAAATCTATGGTACTACTCAGAAAAAGTTTAGATCGCAAAAGAAACCGAAAGACAACCCAGAACGGTATGGTTAATACGCAGACAAAAGTTGCTGTATTTCCACATTTGTATTTCCATTCTGTTTACAAAGTTTGGATTTAGGGCATTCAAGTTAAATGTTTGCATTTTTATACAGAACAAGGAAGAATTCTCTCCTTGATAAATCTATGGTACTACTCTCAGCTTTACCCTTCCTCTTAGGTCTGGGTTTTTAAATTCAAAGCCCTCAAAATATTACAGTCAGTTGTGGTTGTTCAGGAAGGGACTTGGATTGCAGAAGCGTACTCATACCTTCTTAACCAGCTGAGATCAGGTAGCCAAACCACATTCTTAGCTCCACAGGAAAGTAAGAGACAGAATCTTAAGAAACTATTCTTTAGCATTTTTAAATGGTCAACCGTGCAGTAAATTAGATCAACCCTAACCTGGAACAATCCTGCAGCAATGAAAAATGGACAGGATAACAGCAATAATGTTATGATAGCATCTATTTTTTGGAGTGTGTCTCAAGTATTTAGGTACCAAAAACCTACTAATGAACACAGTCCAAAGACTAGCTTTGATTAGGAAATTAATTTTCCCCCATCATAAAAGCTGCTTTTTCACTGAAAGACTAAACATTTTAGAATCTTTTTTCAGTGAAAACCCAAGTATTTTCACATCATAGAATTTCCATGAAAATATTTTCAAATTTAATTTAAATCTGTTTCTTCATAAATCCAGCTCAAGCTCTTATATATGATACCTTAAAAGGTCTTATTTTAGCCTAATATTTCACATCAAGAAAGCATTTGAAAGATGGCTCTGTTGAAATTTGTGTACCATAGCTTTCTAATCAGAAGAGAAACTCCTAAATGTTGGTTTGGGGCAATCCACCTTTTAGAAGAAACAGTCCAATAGATCTCTAGCCCTTCTATACAAAACTGCTGAGAATTTTTACTTAATTCCTGTTGCGCGGATTCCCTGCCTTCGACTTGTGTTCATACAATAACCTTACAGCAGTGGCAGCAATTACTTTCATGTAAAATAACACTATTATTACTACATGCGATGAATCTGCAGCTTCTCATTTGCTAAGTGAAATTTGGCAACTAAAACCAAAGGTCAGTATCACATGACAACACAGGAGCAGAGCAACAGGAAGAGTTCTGTGGAACAGTGGAACAGGCTTGGGAACTTCATTGCTGCTATTTTGAACATGTCTCTTCTCGCACCAATGTTTGTAATGATGCAAATCTTTCTTGGAAACCATTTTTCTCTACTAGTATACACCCTCCTTTGGAAGCTCTGCTCTTCTGCTTGGTCTTAGAAGCCAAACTTCCCTTTCACAGTAGTTTTTGACCTTGAAAAATGATAGGATGACTTCCGTTAATAAAAGACTAAGCATGGAGACTTTTTTTTTTATTTGATAGCGAATATAAAATAGCTTAATAGTCTTTATTTAAACTGAATAACTATTCAAGTCTAACTCTTGGGACGGTTTTGAGCTCCAGATTTAGACCACCTACATCTAGCAGTCTACATATGTGTTAGATGTCAAAACTCCTATTAAATTCAATGGAAGTCTAGCAGACATACCCAACAGACTCCACAGAGCTCACTCAGCAGCAGATATCCTGCCCCCACCCTACAGGCTGTGCACCTCAGCAGCCTTGGAGGTTCCACCAGCCCAATCTGCATGGCCTGGAAAAAGCACAGTGGACCCAGCATAGTCCAGACCCCTAAATACGGGGACGGGAGGGGGGAATCTCAAACTCACGCTCAATATCTAGCTACTCTCTTTATGCCAAAGAAAAGCCCGAGTGCTTCCCCAGAGAGTGGGGGTTTTTCCACATATCGGTAAAAACAGAACAAATGAGAATGATTTAGTATTAGAGTCAAATGTTCGACTTCTTAAAATGTTAAATACTTCTCTTAACATACCCACTATTTTCACCAGCAAAACAAAGAAGAAAATTAGGATTATGCTGTGATTTCCTGGACAAGTTAAGAGGCTGTGCAACTTGGCACGTTAGTCATAAAAACTGACCCTTTTTGCAAGAAAATTGCAAAACAATGTTTTTATTGTCATGAATTATAGATCCAACTCCTTCCTGTTGACTACATCATTGAATTACATTGTAAGACCTTCTCACCCATAAATCTTGCTACACAGTAAATTTGAAAACTTACAAGTAATTCTCAAGCGTTCAAATGAAAACATGCACTCTGAATGCACGTGTAGTAATAAATAATAAAGAAATTCAAAGCAAAACTTTTCAGAATCAAAATCGTAGGCAATTTTGATCCAATAGCAGAAGTTATTTTAGCTCTAGTTTTCTTTTTAAATCACCAACACCAATGAAGAACCCATAGCAATGGGACTCTTAGAAATCCTATTTTAAACACTTTATGGAAGACACTTTCCTCTCCAGGGTTTAAGTATCGCCTACCATGATCAACTTCCTCCTGTGGCATTTAACTCATAAATAAGAAAAAAATTATTTTTTTTTTATTTAAGTAAAAAAAGTAAAGTTCTGACCATTCTCAAAGACACCATTTCTGTTCATCTGTTCTGTTCAGTGAAAGTCACAGACTTTGGACCTACAGACATCTATGCTGAATCGCTAAAACAGATCACCTCTGAAGAAGGACCATGCCTGAACTGTCTGGCTTGAAGCAGGAGAGACGAAACGCTAGACCCACAAACAGGATATGCTGAATACTGAAGTAGGAAGGCCCCATATGGAAAGCCTCCATCCATACAACGGACTTTCTTCAGGGAAAGCAGACAACTGGTGTATATGTTGACGGGAGGAAATTTATCCACGTAAAGAAAGGAAGGACATAAAGTGCATCTCTGAGACAAAATGCACATTTGGCTACTTGTTATCACTTACGTTGAAGCCAAAAGCCAGATTAAAAGATGCACAGTTTATATTTTGCTTCTTTATTGCTATGTTTTTCCATTTGTTTCCTATAATTACGTTTTTGTGCTGTTGTGTCTGTGTGACCATCTTGCTTACATCAAAATTTTCTTTTGAATAAATATACTTCTATTTGTTTCTGAAACAGTTAACTGTATAGGCTACTCCTTCCTGCATATTTTACTACTGATAACTTGTGACAGGCATTAGGTCAATAAAACTGGTGAGTTTCATATGCTGTATGTATCCTTAGTATTCAAAGGAATATTCACAGGAAAAGCTTGTTCTATCCTGCAAGATTATTATCAACAACCACCCACGATGGGGGTTGAAATATCTGGTCACAAAACTAAATTTATTCATTTTGTATGACAGACCATTTTGTCCTTGGATTAGATCTTAGCACCACAAAAGCACTTAGCCACCCCATTTCATGGAATGATATTAAATAATGTACATAGCTTCACTTTAATGGTTTATGGTTTTAACTTCAGCTCAGATTCAAATGAAACTCAGCAGCACAAACCCCAGGTTTATTTTAGTCTGAAAGAAAATGAGCCAATCAAAATACAAATTTAAGCCAAATTCTAAGTTCTACTAAGTACAAGGTGCCTTTGCATTTAACGTTGCTTGTTTCACCAAAAAAAGCAAAGCGTTATTTGCTAGTGTCCAATAAAACCAAGAATCTTAGCTTCTGTTACCTCTTTTTTTACTCTAGAAGCCATTTGTGTAGTAAAGCAATTCCTTTGGAGACAGCTGATATCATTATCATGATCCAAAAGAGTAGGAACTATTATAGATATGTGTGATGCTTTTAATAAAGAAAAATATTTAAAATTTGTAATGAGCGTACCCAGAGTTTTCTTTCAGTACTCCAGAACATCCTAAATAGAAGGCTTACTTCTTTTGGCTTTCTTTAACTTTGAATAATCATCTTCTTTCTGTTAACAAAAAACAAAGAAACAAACAAGCAAACAAACAAAAAGGCAAAAAACAGTAAAGCAAACAAAGCAGTAATACTAAGCTAACAGCTCAACTAAAAAGTTGTTTCTGAGTGAAACGCCAAGTTGAATGATACGAGAAGTAATTAATAAAAGTTTCTATTTTCCAGTGTAAATATAATTTAAAGTATGTTTTTATGTACAGCGTGTAAATAATTAAAACCAGAGCTATTTTGAAAATACCCTTTTACATGCTGGCAGCCAAGACCTTCAAAACCAACTGATCATTTTTGGTGTCCAAACTTGAGATAATGACAAAGGCTTACTCTTCAGAGAAGTGTTTAGCAGTGTCCCCAGTCAGCACCATTGTATTTTAATCTGGAGAGAGGAGGAATCAGACTAATGAGCATTGGAGAGTCCATCCCTACACCAGTTAATAGCCAAGTCCCTCTCCTGTTCCTGAGACTCCAGCTGAAGCTTCCCTGGAGCTGTGCATCCACCTCACTTGGCTCCAGCAGTGGCAGTGCTGCACTGGCAGCGTGGCAGGCAGACAGAGAGAACTTGCTGTCTCCTGCCGCTTCCCAAAAGTAGCTTGCAGGGCTCAGGCTGGTACCTGTGCTACTCTCAGCCTGCCTGGAGAGAGAGGAATGGCATGGGGCACTTGTGGCTCATGACTAGGACAGGACAGTGCTCCTTCCCCATCCCAGCAGTGCTGCCAGACCAGCTACAAGCTCTCTGCTTGTCCAGTCTGCCCAAGCTGTAGAGCTAACTCCATGCTCACAAGCCCTAGTGTGGCCGAGTCATTCCCAGTGGCAGGCAAAGGACTTCAGCACTTAATTCGTATTATGGTGGAAGTCTCCCTTCAGTACTCAGACCCCTGGGGTCGTTATTCATATAACCACAGTTATTTTTAGTTGCTGTTTTTCTTTTCTTCTTTGTGAGACTGACTCCTGACTCTACTGCTGTAGCATCGCGCTGCTGGGCCTGTAACTAGTGACTCAGTTGTGGCCCTGTGGAAGGGCCATTCCCAGCTGCAGGTGTATGGGGCCAGCTCAGAGCAGCTGGGCTGGCGTTTCCCACACCAACTCCTCTCTTCCCTGCTGCAGCCTGAGCTCTAGCGTATGAGTGTGTTCCTGCAGCAGGCCCCTGAGGCTGCTCTGCTGGCCCTTTCTGAACTGCACGGATAGCACAGACTGTGCTCTTTTAATTACCATTAAAAGCTACAGAATTGTCTTGTATTTGGCTTTAAAAGCATAACAAAACAAAGAGATGACAGATAAAATTTAATGTTAACAAAGGCAAATTAAGCGGAAGAATCTGAATTACGGATACATACTCTTAAGTTCTTAATCAACAGTTAATGAGTATGTTAACAAGGTAAGTTTATATATTGCAACATGCGACTAGGCAAAGGCACTTCAGATCAAGCATGGGTAATGAGACCTCAAATGGTCACGCTTGAAATGAAATACAAAAGGCAAGGGAACCTGGGTGAAAAGGGAGCTAAGTGCGTGCAACTTTTCCTCCTGGCTTATTTTGTAGAGTTATTGCACAGTATTTTCAGTTGGCTATTAGCAGAAATAATACATAAAAATCTATGTAAGAAAATACAATTCTACTGAGCATTGGAGACTTGGGACCTGTTCCTTCTAATGGGCCTAATTTGTAGGTAGTAAAAACATAGCAAATGTGGTTGAAAGGAGAAGGAGGTGGAAGATACAACTGAGTTTTAAAGAACTGATATTTAGGAACAGAAGTGTAGCCCAGTGATAGGTAAAAGCAATATATAAGAATAATGAAAAAATATTTTGAAGAGGGATTTAAAAGCACACACTATTATCATTAGAGCAGCATCCAGAGGAAAAAGTATTAAAAAAAAAAAATTCATATTAGGAACCTATCTAATTGCTGCTGCTGACCCCATCTAGTAATACAATAACAACTTAAATATATCAAATAATTAAGAGAATATAACTTTTAAAAACCCAGAATGAATTACAAATAGCCTTTTGGAACTCATTTCTACAGAACGTGCTGAATTTAAGCACTTAAGTTGAGATACTTACAGCGCCAATGAGAATGCCCATAGTTATATTGGGCAGGATAAAACTGTTTTCTGTGGAATCAGAAAATCTGCTTCAGAAACATATTTACATTAAGGGACATCATTAAATGCTTTCATTTTAGTAGTATCTTTTGCAGGAGACAAAATGCATGCTTGAAGTAACAGTAACATAACCAATGGTTAAGGTTAATTTTATCCTGGTTAAGGCTAATTTTATCCAAAGCAGGCTCAATAAGATTTCTTGGTTTCCCAATTTAACTGGAACATGCTAAAATGAAAAAATTTAAATTTTCCTTTTTATCTCTTAATTCAGGTCCCTGTAGACTGGATTAAGGGGTGTATGTGTGTGGGTTTTTTACCTGTCTTCTTCTGGCACAACCTTTCTTTACAGATGCTTCCATGTTGCTCTCCCTGATTGAGGAAGTCGGTTTTGAGGTCAGTGTTTCACATGTCAGGTACTTGTTCCTTGTAATCATCTTAAAGTATAGAAGTTTATACCTTCATTAGCAAAAAAAACTCCAGTATTTTTCTACTTGTTAAAATAACCTACTTTTTCAAAAGGTGCCTTCATAACACAAAGTTGAAATAACATACCAAATTACATTTTATAGGTGAAAAAAGTGATAAGCACAACACATTTCATCCATGGGCCCAATCTGTGGGATATCATCCTCATAAAAATTGCACTGAAATCAGCTCAGCTATTTATTTTATTGAAATGCAGACAGAATCGTAGAAAATTTAGATTGTAAAGTACCTCTAGGGGTCATCTAATCATAACTTCTACCCAAAACAGAGCTAACTACAAAGTTAGATCACATTGCTTTGGGCCCCATCCAATCAAGTTTTGAGAATCTGAAAGGGTAACAACTCTACAACCTCTCTGTGCAACTTGTTCCAGTACTTAACCACCCTCACGCTGAAGACTTTTCTTCCTTATGCCCAGTAGGAATTTTTCCTGTTGCAACTTGTGCTTTTAGTGAAAATGTAATTAAACTTGTATTTGCAAAACTTCCACGTTTGTCTAACAGCACAATGACTTACACACACTGCAGTCATCACTACACAACTGATGAGGTTTGAGATTCCTTCCATGAATATGGTTTCATATGAAGACAGACTGACTGCACACTGAAAATTTCACCATGTTAACCTCACACAAATCTTGATAAACTGTCTTAAAGAAAGGAAAACTAATTATCCCACCTTAAAAGTCCCAAATAAAGAAAGTGTGTATCTCAGACAACACAGTAAATCATCTTCCCTTTCAGAAAAAAAGCAGCAGTGGCTGAAAACATTAACTTATATGGTAGAAATTTTAGAAAAGTCTATTGATAATGATGGTAGAACATGATGAAAGCCATGCTCTTTATTGCTTAACGTTGTTTCAGAACAGCTGAATTTGTGAGAACCAGTGAGAATGAGCTCTGTTATTTACCGTACCTGTTCAAAGTTAGATTTGGAATGATGACCGGTTGTCTTAGTGATATAGTCCTTAGAATGGCACACTGCTTTATTTTCTTCATTTCTGGCGATGCACACTGTATCATTTAAGACAGATTCATGAACATTTAAACCTGCTCCTTCATTTGCTCTCTTTGTTTGTTGCTGTGATAAACCAGAATTTGTCATTTCATTGTCTAATTTACAAATCTGCAAATGTACTTTCCTTGGCTGGTGTTGTTTCTCAAGAACTTGTGTGGTATTTTGACTTGCAAACTTTTTTCCCTTTCTTGCACTGGAAGTAGGAGATGCATATGTATTCAGACTCAGGTTGATGTTCAATTTCTGAAGCACTGACCCAACATTCTTAAGAAAGGAAGGGGAATTTGCCTTTTTGTGATTGACTTCACTTGAATTCCCACTTGAAGCCGAGTTACCAGAAAAATCAGAATTAGTAATTTGTCCACCAGACTCTGTTTTCCATCGAAATACAGGTATACCATGTTTTGCATATGTTTTCGCGTTCATTACCTGAAGTACGCTGCTATGAGTAGGATTTTTGACTGACATATTTTGAATGGGTTTGTAAACCTGAGTTATGCTGGACTTACACACAGTCAGCACAGAAGATGAAACACCCATAATTTTTATTGGTGAATGTCTTTCAGCATTTTCTCTTTTCTTCCCATCCATTTGAGTTGTGGTCTTTCCATTCATTTGCATCAACTTTCCTTTGAAAATTGGTACAATTTTGCTGATTTTTTTTGGGGGGAGTTCAAAGGCTGAATTTACAGGGATTCCTAAAGATTTCACAGCTGGTAACTCTGGTACTCCTGATATTTGCCTATTATCCATTGATTTCTCTGTCGCTTCAAAGCTAACCTTTTCTGTACCCTTACTGCTACTCCAAAAAGTCTGTGTTTCTGGCTCTTTGATCAAAAGCTCCATCCAGTGGCTGTTTTCCATACTGCACGGTGAAGAAATTCTAGGCAAAGTCTGTTTTCTTGGAGGAGTCTGTGTTAGAGATACTTCACAAACCATCTCACCAGCCAATTTCATACACTTAGATTTTATTTCCTGCAATACAACAAGAGTTGCTAAGCTGAATGAACTGGATTTAAAAATCTGATAGTGCCACTTAATGCATCACTATATGATATCTACCAAATATACATCACAATATATAACCATACATTTTCCTGTTTTGAATTAGAATGAACTATATTTTTAAACAATATTTTGTTGTCACCATAAATGAAGGTTTGTTTTTTCCTCCCCCCAGTTCTTTGTTTATAAACTATGCTGGAATATCGTATTTCTCAGAAGGAAAGACTTAAATTACAGTCATTATGTTGGTTTAGTCCTTTCCAATAGGGTAATGCCTAGCCCTTTTGAGGGGGTCTGCAGAGAGTTTGACTGACAGGGCTCCTCGTCTCTTAAGACTTCTAAGGGCATCTGTATTCTGAGCAAAAGACAGTTTGGATGTCTATAAAAACTGCAGATGACAAAGAGGAGCCATTCTAGCTTTGATCACTGAAGAGACATAAACAGGAACTGCTTTCTGAAAGAGGATTATAGTATTTTAGAATCTCTGCAATTTCTGTCGCTATTCTTTGTTCAGAATTAATTACTTCATTTCTTCTTTCGCACACTACTACCAAAGAAATTTGAGTCTCAGTCTTTGTCACAACCTCAAATTAAAAGAGTTTTGATTGCTTGCCTCCTTTCCATCACCAGTCATGGAGTAAATCTTACAGCTTGAGTGTTTTTAAATGCATAAGTCCACAGAACTTTATATTTTTCTTGGTTTTTTTTTTTTTAAATAAATTGCAATAATAGTAGTAATAATAACAATAATAATAATAATAATAATTATTGTTGTTGTTGTTGTTGTTGTTGTTATTATGGAAGAGGTGTGAGAAATTTCTGGATATCCAACCGTAAAATAAGGTCTATAGAACTGCAAATATAGCAACTAATTAACACTGTCCAATTCTTCAATGTATTTGTGATGTGAACAACAACATAACAATGGCAAATAGCAATATAAGATTTAATTACACATTTAATTAAAAGCTACATGATTGATAGTTGTTTGTAGTGAAAAGCATAGTTTTACGCTCTTACTGTGTTCCGAATATGATAAAGACCACTTCACACCATGAACAAAGTACATGCCATTAATACGTTTATAAAAAAACCTTACACGCACCGGGGCCCTGGAGAGTTCCTGTGTAGCATAAAGTGCTTTACTTGTCATCTTTACTGGAAATCCACATAGATGTGAAAGATTACACTTCATGTCAGAAAGAAAAGAGTTCAACACTCTTTCTGAATCTGTTCTAGGGAAATACTGCACTGGCTGGCTTCGAATGCAACTTAAAGGGTACCTGAGTAAGTGTTCAGGGACACATAACAAGTTTCTTTATGTTTCTATAATTATGAATCATCCTTCGTTGAGCGTGAACATGTCTAAAGCTTTTTGAAAAAAGGTGAACAAAAAGCACTAATGGACTGAAGCTTATAAAGTTATGGGACTTCAACATGATTATACCATACTAATCTACCACAGTAAAGATTACTTAGTATAAGTAATCCTTAGTCTAGTCTTTCCTAGCAAGAAAATTCTCTCTAAAACAAATCTTTGTTGGCCGTATTTTTACAGGAATTTAACTCTTCCTTTTACATCACCATTTAGAGTGGCATTATCATGTTTACAGAAGCTGTGAAGCAAACTGATCTATTTGACTTACTATTATTCAGTACTAGGACAAAGAGACCACTAAATATTTTGTTCCAATTTGTCTAGTGAAACAATTCTCCACTGATTTCTATGAAATTATGAAAGAAGAAAATGTGGCACAATCAAAAATGAAAATTTAGATCTTCGCTAGAAGTGTAGTAGAGGAAATCTAACAAAAATATTCTGAAAGGATACGTAAAGAACCTTTCCCCTATTGGCTTGAAGTAAACACTGAAGTATACTTTTGTCTCTTCAAGATCTTCTGGAAGAATATATCCGTACTTTAAAAAAAAAACAAACCACAAACGTGTATTACAAATACAAATTCAATAGGTACAAAAAAGGGAGGGAAAAATGAAAGCAGTCTATATTGTTTCTTACCAGATTCTTCCAGTGCATCTGAAATTCTTTATGTGAACGGAAAGGAGATTCTGGAGGAATTATGTGGCTGACGTTTATGATCTTGCCCATTTTCATGCTGTGCATGGGTAAAGAAGGGATGCTTAGAAAGTGTGTCATAAAACTCAGCTGAAAATATACCAAACTTTTTTTTTGGGGAAAAAAAAAAGTAAATCTTATTTTTGGCATTGAAAGTATTTATGAATTATTTTTATGTTTTGAGGACTAATACCTTTAGCTTATAAGTTTATGACACTTGGCACCTAGCAGTCCAATTTCTCTTGTCTGTAATACTCACTAGCAGTGAATGTAGAACAAAAGCAAATATATCATTACTTCTCATATTTTTCTGATGAAAATCATAGGTGAAAATACAGGTATTTTGTGGCAAAGGTGGAAATATGTTTTTTCTTTAAATCAACACTTTCTGCTAAAATTATATTTGAGAAAAATTAATGCTCTTGCATATCACAGAAGAAGCAGAGAGATTACTAGAATTGAAATAATATTTAAATGTGTAATTTATGATTCACTGATTAATTTTTCTCATTTTCCGTAACATTGAGACAATAAAAGTAAAAAAGAAAGATTCCTGAACGTAAAACAGGCTGTAAAGCAGAAGTGTTCTTATCACTAGTATCAAATTCACAATTTGTATGGCAAACATTCCAGGAAATGTTTGTTTCTACTGAAATGTAAACAGACTCCTACCTTGGCAAAACATAGCACCAGTTACTTAATATGGAATGTTGGTGAATAACTGTATTTTCACTGCTGTCAAACAGCTTTAAGGTGTTTGCTGAAATATCAAAATCTCCCAGCTTAAAACAGAAAAAAAAAAAGTTATTTGCAAATATTTCTACAGCAGTACAAAACCAAAATTTTCAAAAGTAATTGTGTATCACAATACACTGAAGCTTATACATCATTATTCTCTTATGAGCTCTCACAGACTGCTTATTTCAGAAGATATTTCCATTATTAAATTGCAAACTATCTTATGTTAGAGCCTACACTTCCAAAAGTTATGCAAGTACAAGGTTTAAAGGTTACTTAAATCAGTGAGATTTAAACTTTGTTTTAATAAGGAAGAGTACAGAAGGAATTTCTCAAACTGTCTCACTTCCATGCACATTTTTTAAAATTCAAATCAGGAACCTGTGTTTGACAGTCTAGTAACCGCATATGCCACCTTGCCTAATCAAGTGCAAAGATCCAAGCAACAAAATTAATGGGACATATAGTTTCACCCTGTGAGAAGTCAAAAACCACCACACATTTTCACAATGTGGAAATATTTGACTGTAGGGTCCAATCAAACACTGAGATTTGAGAAACATTTTCTCTCTCTATGGTCTACCAGGCTTTGCATTTATTCACTGACAAGAAAATCTGGCCATTTCTGTTTTAGAAAGTATTAAAATGATCAAACTGATGATGAAGCCACATCATGATTGCTTCCATCATTGCTTTGTGTCATTTTGGAATTGGATTCCTAAAGATAGCTTTAATGTTTATGCTGTCCAAGTAGGTCACAGAAGAAATCCTATTCTTTTATTCTAAGAAAGAAGAGTTTGGATCAGAAATACTTATTTTGGAAGAAACCAGCAAGCCTGACAAATATGCCCCTGTATGTATGGACATATTCAACAAAAGTGACATGACTGTCAGAAAGGATGGTAACTTTTCAACCTCAACCACGATTTCTTAAACAATTTATTAATTATGCTTTTATGCAGCATAATCCAGGCTGCTCCCGGATTTTGGAAGCTGCATAGAAAATGAAGCAGATTCCAGAATAATTATATACAGGGACTTTAAACATAGTGCTGACAACTGAACTGTAGCCTCACTTTTAAGATGTTACTCAAAACTGTCTATGTATTACAGTGAGACAGTGAATGCCTTCTAGAAAACACTGCTAGAAGGAAATTTAGAATCATAAAGACACTTTAGTACTACAATCTATTAGCATTTTTGAAAGATCTCTTAATTAGTCTAGAATCTCAATTTTACAATGCTTGCTAGAATGCATCAATACAGATATAATATGGATGTTATGCACTTAGAGCAGATGCAGATAGTCAATGAATATGATTACTCTCTTAATACAAGCAGAAATAAGCACTTCTATCCCCACCATGCTAATTGCGAGTCACCTAACAGAAAAGAAGATAAAGATTAATAAGACAAATACAGTCATAGAAAATATAACTGGTTTATACCTCAGCGGGTGGCAACCGAATTGAGCAAGCCTCCACACTGATGCAAAGCTGTCTCTCTGATACATTGAGGTCTATAACTACCATAAAAACAAAGCACAAAGCCCTGTTTTGAACTACAGTTCATCTGTTAGACAGAAAGCTAAACCAAATGTTTATTTAAAGTAATTGTTAGTCAAACTGCTGCATTGGAAAATCAAAAGGCTAGACTTCCTCAGCATGGAAATTAAAATAAATTTCATTTTAACTGTGAAAAATTAAAATAATAATGAATTGCCGTCTATACAGTACACCTCCCTAGGAACTCATGGCTGTCCATGCAACTGGATGCTTGATACTCATATCCTTGATACACAAAGACCCATTTTCAAAGCAAATGTAGTTATTATAACCATTGGCTGTACTGAGACATCTAGCTCAGTATTATGCATCCAGAAGTGGTCAATAGGAAAGACTACATGAGCAAGGCAAGCATCTATTGACACATCTCCAGAACATCCACCCAGCTCTGAGCAAGCTCTAGCACAGGAACTGAATGTATTATGTTCTCAACACTTGTCCCAGTTACAAATTTAGGCTTCAATATCCCCAAATGTAATCTTTAACTTTTATACTGGAATAAAAATATCACTTTGTAATTTTTGCAATAGCTAAGCAGCATGCTTGTGACTTAACTTTTGTGAACAGCAAATGTAGTACATATAGGACAGTCACTTTAGCTTGTTTTCCTATCTATTATTATGGAACTTTCACACCACTTGCAAGACTCCTAATTTGAGGCAAGTGCATTTAATTGTAATAATTATAACTTTAAAATGGTAAATTTCAATCTATGGCTGTAGATTAATACTAGAAAAATTACCTTTTTTGTGGGCAATTTTTCAAAGGTGCAGTTGAGCTGACAACTATTGCATACAGAATATCATCTGCCATCAAGTGTATTGTGACTGAGGTTATTTCAGAATGAAAAACTTGCTTTCACAAGTTTACCATGAACAGAATATTGTACTTACCAACAGCATTTTGCTTTCCTGACTGAGACAAAAAATCTTTTCCTTAATAAATAAAATAGATAGACATTATTTTCTAAACCATGTGCCCAATGTCTTTATGCAAAGCAAAAGGAGAAATCACACAGTTTTGTTTGTGTGTGTCACGAATGCTGAAAGGTTTGTTCTTTTTAAGGAGAGAAAAAACCCTGTATCGATTAACTTTTCACTCATTCGTTAACATCTTATATAAAAAAGAGAAAGATATGAAAGTATATTAGTGGACAGCAATTTATATATAATTTTTTTCCTACCAGTAAGGAATTTATACATAGAACTATTTTTAATTGACTAACACTTAATATATTTCTCAGGTTCAAAAGCAAATCTGTGTAGTATTACTACATATTTTACCATCTATCACCAGTTTTGCCCAACTTTAGCAACATAGCTGATTAGACAAGCTGCAGGTACCAGGGTCACATTGCTGTTAGTCAACGTCTTTCACTGAAACCAGTTTTATATCACCTACCATCTAGCCCTCTACATCTAGCTGCTATTCCTGAGTAAGTTGATTTCATTCAGAGCACTACATATTTTGAAGATACTGAAAACAAGATACTGTTAATATTGTGACTGGAAATAAGACAGTAACATATACACTTTTCTCAATGTATATTTGGAATGATTTATACAGTTGCTCAGCTCAATAAGAGCACACCACAGTATCTGAAACACATCTGTTTTTCCATACTGTGGTAATTCACTTTTATCCTACACAGGAGTTAGTAAAGAGATGTCAGGCAAAGGAACTACCATCTAAAAAGACAGAGCTTGGTAGGAGGAGGTGGTCTGACAGGAAAACACTTCTGTATTAGAAGAGCATGCAAACCATGTGCAGAAGCGCCACTGATGAAAGCACGAACCTGAAAAACAGGCCCAATTTTTAGCAGACATTTACTGTCCAACTATATTTGGTTTGGAAATTATTGATCTGGCATGTTGCGTTCAGTTGAAATAATTATTTGATCTGTTACGAAGATGAGGAGGAAGATGAAAAAGTGAATGATACGTACATTCAGCTTGTTAACTTGAATCATTGAACTTGGATAAAGGAACAATAAAAATGCAATCAGAAAAAAATCATAGGATAAACGAATGAAATAATTGAATATAATTAATGAAATAATGATGGAATTGAAATAATAATGGAAACAAAATTATGGAAAATAAATGCAACAATAAAGAACTGAAAACTAAATGTTTGATCCCTGACCCAGGTGAGTCAAATACCTTGCACCAAGAGATGACCAGCCTTGTTCCATCTGGGTGCAAGTCTGGCTGTAAGTGTGTAGGAGAGACAGGTTTGGAGAATGGCTGGACTAACTGTTTGCGGTGCTTCCAGCTAATAATACCAGTGAGAAAAGAAAAATATATTATTAATAATTTAACTTTTTTTTTAAAGGCTTCAGTCAAAATTTAATGAAAGATACTGCTACTGCATCTTGGGGCCAAATCCTAGTATATGTTACACATCTTTACTTTTCATCTACTTAGCTACAAGAAGTTAGCACAATATTTGATGTAGGCATTTAGATATCATGCATCATCAAAGTAAGGTGCACTACAATTCATTTAATGTTTTCACAGGCTGATAATAGACTTGAGGAAAAGATTTATTTAACTATATGGAGTACTTTACTAGATATGCATCTCTTTCCAGACAATAGGCACAAGATGCAAAATTTGCATATATTAACTCTGCTGTTAAACTCAAGACCAGAGACATTTTCTTGGAATCACAAGAACAATAGATAAATGTAGCTTTGTCCACCCAGCAGTACTACCTGCCTGATTGCTTGCCTGTCCCACATAGCTTTCTGTTGACAGTTAGCATTAGTCAAGAAAAAGAAACTAATAACAATGGGTTAAAAAGAGTTAACTAATACACCTCCAAGAGGATGTTTCTAATGAGATCCTGCGAGGATCTGCTTGCAGCTCATAGTTATTAAATATAATACTTTGCACCACTAATCTGCTGGTGTTGGAAAATCTAACGATGACAGGTCAGTTACACATATCAACATAAAGCAATTTTGTAAGGTAAGCATATTTGCACAGTATATGTCTTACTAATCCAGATATGCATTTACACTTCTTGGAACAAAGAAAAATAAACCCAGCTGGCTGTGCAAATGAATCTCAAGAGCTACTGGCTTTGCTTACAATCAGTCTTTTGACTCAGCAATTTTAGTGCGTCCACACATACATTCATAAAACCCACAAATATTGCATACTATAAGACGGTAAAGCATAATGGTCTAAAAATATATCAGCTGTTAAGCTCATGGGTTCCATTTCTTCTCTACGTTTTTGTTTTGTTTCTCTGAGACTATCCTATACAGGCTGGATAAACCCAAAATGTGAATGGGGAGATAGTTCAGATGTCTGCACAGCCCCACCCGTGGAACACCCGTGGAACCTATAGGGCACACGCAAAAGGGGTGACACCAGCAGGGGAGCTGCAGGTCTTTGGCCCTAAGGGCAGGTCTGTCGTTGCCTCGAGGTCGAACCCTAACGCCACTGAACAGGATCAGAATCCCACTGCAGCAGAGAAAGCTAGTGAAATTGCTCAGGAACTTCTTAAAACCTTTGACTCTGACAAAGTATACTTACTATACTCGCATTTGTAAGAGACATTTTGTCTATAGGACAGACTTTTTTACCCTGAAACTTGGCTTCTGTACTGCAAATTGCATGTCCTATGGAAAATACTCATCTCTTGCAGCAGCAATTGCAGACAAGCGTAACAATCTTAAGAACTGTGACATCTTTCAGCACTTACGGTAGCTCCTTGTTTCTCTATGTAGGCTTGGCATATTCCTGATTTGTAAAATGATATCTAAAAATAAAAAAAAAAAATCAAGTGTGTGAAATTTAGCAAATCATAAATTAAATTCAGGTCCATCAGTGACTTTGCCTAAGAAAAACATGCTAAGGAATAGTGAAAGCAAACACCGTTTCCTGTATTTTAAAGGAGAATGAGAACTAAAATTTGTTCAGGCATTTGTCAGAGTGTAATCTCATTTCCAGCTAAAGATACATTAACAAGCAAGCAAAAGACTGCCCAAAAGAAAATCGTGGAACTCTTCCCCTGCTGCTCTCATTGTGCATTGGGTGGCATCTTATCAACTGAATCCATTCTGTTCCACAAAAGGTTCACCATCCGAAAAGGCCATTTCATCAAAAGAGTAGATGACATAAGCTGTCATCTACATTACTAATGCACAAATATAAAAGTTTAAATGACATAATTTTACTTATCCTTGATCCTCAAACAAAACACTTCTTAGAGAAACATGTGTGTATGTGTGATGGATACACTTGACTTTTAGCCGTACTTTCGTTCAGGCTGACCAAGAAGCAACAGGCCTCATGTCCTTGGGGTGAACTTGCGAGCTGGAAAGCCCCTGGCTCACGTACAAGCAAGTGAAGGTGTCTTGAAAAATATTTCGAAAGGTGGTTTCGAAACCCAAAAGTACAAAATAACCAAAGTACAGAACAAGATATCAGAGCTAAACCGAAGACATGTCTTGTCTATACTGTTAGCTAGCAGCCAACTACTTCACCCTATAAACATTAAAATCAGGATGGGCCCAATCTGAGCTCTCCCTGATAGGCAGCTGGCTTGCACTCCAGGTGACTCTCCCCTTGAGCAGGGACGCCTCGCAAGATTACAGATCCCTTACCTGAGACTAAGAGATCTTTCCTTACCCAAGGCAGAGAGATCCCTTACCCGCTACAGGTCCTCGGTAAGTGACTGATAGCATGCTGAATTAATACTATGAAGCATTACTAATCCATGTAGCTACTCAGATATTATAAACATTGTATGGATAATTCCATTAGACATGAATTGTTGACCAAGTCTGAGACTACGATTGGATCCAGCCCCACCTAGGCTCCAAAAAGGAGTTTAGAAAGCAAGGGGGTCCACTCTGAACCTGGTGACTCAACAGGAGGGTCCTCTCTACTCTTCACGCCTCTGGTCTCTGTATGAGTCAGAATGACTCAATTTTCCTTTCTATGTTTCTTCCATGCAGTAATTAATAAGGTGAACCTTGCCATCGAACTTATTAAACCTTGTCAAACCACCCTTAAAACTTTGTTAAATAAACTTATTGAACTCTGTCAAATTATTATTTTACCTCAATAAAACACATTGCTGCTTCTCTCTTTTGAGTGAGGTGCATTCTGCTCATCTGCAACAGTATGTAACTACATATACTTATTTACACAGTGATACTGACCGCCATTACAACTGAAATTTGATTTAGTGTTCCAATAACAGGTGCAGAAAGGATGTCTTGATGCAGGAACAATAACTGTCTATAAAAAAAAAAGAAAAAAATTCAAAAATAATTTTCCGTACTTGATTTTCTCAGCTTAAATTTATTTTCCTCACCTTCTGCAAACATAACACATTCCATTTTTAATGGGTTTCCAGTGGTTCAGTATAATATATTGGACTAGTCCAAGTCACTTGCTCTTAACCCACTCACAGTGGTCTAAGACAAAGACTACAGGCCTTTGGCACATGAACAGAACTCTCCAAAAGTGTTCCTTTTGGCAGAATTTCTCTTTTCTTCCCTTTCCTATTAAAGGGAATGACATAATTCTTGGTGAACACTAAGAAGCGTACATATGCTTTCCGAGTATTCTTTTCACTCAGTCTCAACCTACACAAAGCAATACAACAGCTCAAAAGATGTACCTAAAGCATTTCAACTTTGCAAGTGAACACAGATTAACTATTTATTAATTTGAAGTAGGTGGCCTTGTTAGTTTTAGCTGATGACATTTAAAACATAATAGAAATGTGTTTTTTTCCCCAATAGCCAGCGAGTCCCCCACCAAAAAAACCCGTTTTGAACAATTTTATACTGTTTGTTGCCGATAAGAATTTTGCTGATTTTATTACAGTTAATTCTAGTACTGCTAATAAAATCTTTGAATAACAACCACCAACAGCTTCTGAAAATAATAACCCTCAGAATTCTTCACCTGCAAATCTTTATCTGTGTACTCCTTGTCTCAGTTTCCAGTATCTGAGAACTTAGTCTTACTGTAGTGGCACAGAGTTTCTGTAGCTCTGGCAGACTGACAAAGAACAGAGACTGGTGCCTGGTGTCATTCATGTTATATTGTTGATTGCCCCAAAGCGACACCTGGGTCTTAAAAGAAAAAAAATTAATTCATTTTTATAAGGCAGATATTTGTCTACAGAACTTTATAAGTATATGGTATCAGGTAAATGAATAAACAATTATCTTCTGATTAAGACTAGGTAGGCAATATAACACAATTTGGTCAACTAAAACAGACGGCTCAATAAACTTTTGCTATAAATAATGCATTATACTTGAAAAAATAATTATTTACAAGAGTCAAAATATTCAGAGTAAAGACAAAGACAAAAGCATCCTTTTCATCTTCTTCTCAGCCTATGTTGGGGCTGGAATCTATCTGGGATCCAAGAGCCGAGGAATCCCTCTGTTATGTTGGTCCCCTCCTGTGTGGCAAGAAAGTTTAATTCCCAGGAGCTCAACAGCAATCTCCTCACTAAGCCATACAAAGACTGTGGCCGGCCCGTCGGAGAGAAGGAAAACCACAGAAACACAGAGGCACACTGGAAATCTTTTCCTTTTTTCGGAGGACCAGGGTCCCTTCCTAGTGGTACAGGGAACTTGTGAGCTCCCTGCTTAAATCCATCTCTCTTCTCAAGTGACAGGTGAACACCGTATTCTAACGTGTGCAGAACTGAGTACAGTCTTACATCGGACTGAAAGCTGTACTAATCCAGAATCGCATTCAGCTATATTGCTAATAACGAACACAGACAATTTGTTCTGCCATTCTTGCTCTCAAAGGAGAAGTGTATGAAGAACAGCATTTTGTCTTGGTGGGAATTTTTAGTAAGTACACTCCTACATACTTATCGAAAGATGAAGAAAACATAGCTGGTATTTGGAGTGGAATGTGATTAGACGTATAGTGGTTCTACCAAAGCTGTCTCTCACATCCTAAGCTTTGCCTTATAATAGAAATTACTGACTATATTTTGTGTTCAAGAGTATGAGGCAGTTTTGGGCTCAGGCCACAATCATTATCTTGATGTGCACATGACCTGATAGTTCATGCAAAGTTAGAATACAGACTACATGTATGTTCATTGCCATACCACTGAGCAGGTGTGCTGCAACTCGGTCATTTTTGGAACTTCCTAAAAAGCACCAAGAAGAAGAACTGGAAGAACCAGAATTTCAGACTGAGAATGTGATCCTTTGATGAAATACTAACAAATTTCATGTGAGTGGGAGTAATAGGAAATTATGGCTGTTTTCCGGCCTGTTGGATGCCTGTTGTACGCTCCTATGTATTGCAGCACAGGCCAGGCTCAGTGTAAAGGAACTAGAATATTTATGACAAAAAAGAACATCTAACGTTTCATTATTCAAAGAAAATACACCTTTTACCTACAGCACCTTTCTCAATCAAAGTGTTTCAAAGAAAAACAGGCAGGTAGAAAGTCTGCTTGTTATGAAAAGCCAGGAACAAACACTGCACACCAAAAAAAGCTGTTTTAATAGTTCTCCCCCTCCAAACCCTAAAACCCTTTTGGGAAATGGTCTTACCAGCACAGTGAAGATAGCAATAAATATTTTGTTTCCAAATTTTATGAAGTCACCAGGTATTCACCTGAAAAGCAATTTTGCAAATCGTGATCAAAAAATGATGAACTGGAAACATTTTTTGAGAAACAATGTCAAAGATTGCTTTGCTGTTCTGATTTTGCTTTGCCTCGCTTACAGTGTAACACATTAAAAGATTAACCTCAGTCATATGCTAGAAAAATCACAAGATCAGTGTTTTATAACTGTAATTTTAAAGAAAATAACATGTTTCTTTGTTTCTTACCCTTAAAGGAAAACATATTTCAATTTTTTTCTAGCAATCATGAAAAGTAGATTTTTTTAAAATGCCAGCCAAGATTATCACTTCATCAGAGAATTCCAAAAGCTCCAGCTTAAGGGAAAGGACCATTTTAAACAAATGAGAAAAAAATCTTGTCCGTTTGCAAACATAGACAAGAAAGGCTGGGTCCTCAGCTTTCATAATGTTTAAAAGAATCCTAAATGGCCAACTGGGGATTTTTGTGGCAAAGACATTGTAAAAAACATGCTGCAACGCTCCAGTGATCTGCTTGCTGTTTGACGCCAACTCCCCTGTGGGAAACACTCATTGTATTCAGCCTAAGTTAAATCTTCCCAGTCATCTTAAAAGCTAATGGGACAGAGTGCTTGCAAATGGCTTCTCCCTTCAGGGGAGAGGATAAAGAGAGAAGTACCAGTTAACATAGAACTACCAGTTATAAATCATAGGAAATAAACGTAACTGCCTTCTGTACAAGTAGGAGAACTTAACATGTGTGGGAGAAATTACATCTTTAGATGCTGACAATCACAACACGTGAACTTGAAACCACCACAGAGACCCTGCTAAGCTGAACATGACATCAGTCAGAGAATGGGTATTGCTGGTTTTCTGTCAGAATGGACACATAAATCACAGAGCTTGGCGGTGATATTTGTTATTTTCAGTAACGACCTGGAAGATGGAATGAAGAGCCTCCTTATTAAAGCTGAGAACGACACCAAGCTGTGAGGGACAGCAGCTACTTTTCCCGTTAGGCTGACTGTAATGAACTAGAGACAGGATCTGAAGATTGCGGTGGCATTCAGTGAGGAAATATGAAGCTGTCCTGCACACTGATAACCAACAGCACACACGCAGGGTACAAAACAATTACCTAAGCACCAGCTTCGAGGAAAGGGGTCTCGACAGGTCACGTTGGGTAAATTTTACGTCACTGAAGTTATGCTGTAAACAAACCTCACAAAAAAACCCCGGCCTGTGATCACACCAGAGCTATTGCTGTTGAGGCACCCAAGTAGCATATGGACATTACCCAGCGCTGGTAGCGCAGTGCGGGGCACTGCTATGAAGGGGATGGGGGGTCCTATTCTGGCCCAACAAGCAAAGCCATCAAACACATCTGAGGCCAGAGTGAAGGAGACAGGTTTTAGCTTGAAGAACACTGAAGGAAAACAGGGTGGCAGGCGGGTGAAAGGGCATCACCAAGAGAAGGGGAAGGCGCTGCTCCCTGAGCCCTCAGCCCACCTGGCAGAAAGGCAGGCGGGGGCGAGGGGGCGTCACGGCCAAGCCTCGGCTCAAGGCCCCCGGCAGAGTTCTCCCAGGGCAGGGCGAGGGGCTCCTGCGACAGCCGGGAGGTTTTACGGAGCGCTTTTGTAAGGAAGCGCTTCTGGCAGGGACGCTCCTCAAGCCGCCTCCGCCGGGCTCCCTCACGGGCTAGGCGGGGCCCTCCCCCTCCCCGCGCGCTTCCCGCCTTTCGCGCGAACTGCTGCGCGCGGGGCGGCTGAAGGCAGCA